TTTTCGTGATCCATGATTCGCAAAGGAATTTGCAGAATATTTTAAAGGTACAATTCTAATAACTATTTTTATTTAAATACAAGGACATTCTTAAAGGGAATTGAAATTATTTTTAAAGTTCACTATGCAAGTGTAAGTAAATTCCCAATAAAAACATGTAATAAGAATAACGTTGATTTTTTTCTTAAAACCCTTTTCATATTAATTGAATATACAAGTACGAACAATTAGATTATAATCTTAATCACTGAAATAACTCTTAATATCACATATACGCAAACCCGTAAATATCTTTTCACACGTGGAAATGTGTGGATATGTAAATATCTAATTACTGAATTATGTCTAAATTAAAAAGATATTGATGCAAAGAGGATACTTTTAGTTTCTTTTTGCTTTCTAGTCTATATAATCTGTCACACATATGTTGGAAAATTCCAACATATATGGGGCCACACATGTAATATATTAAAATGTGTGTTGCTATTGTTTAAATATTAGTCAATTAAAATGATCCATTAAAGTTAGGTTTCATGGAAATATAGTGTAGAGACCGAAATGTTGTTTTAAATTGATGAGAGACCAATTTGAAACAACTGAAAGATAATAACTATTCAGTTATTATTATTATTATTATTATTATTATTATTATTATTATTATGGGGTCATGGTCCCCAATTTGATAGTGATTTTTCATCTTCTCTGCATCCCCATCAACAGAGAGAAAAATCAAGAGAATGTCATAAATCAATTGGAAGATCATAACTCATTAAAACAATCAATCAAGGTACGCTTCCACTTTTATTTATCAGAAATCTATGAATCAAGGTACGCTTCCGGTTTTATTTAGTTGTTCTCATTGATTTAAACATGGATGGTTTGTATGTGTGAAAAGTGTTTGTGAATTTTAGGGTTTGATAATGTTTTGGATCAATAATCCATTTTAAATTTTCTATCAAATTGTAACGCCCCGAGTTCCGTGAACCTGGATTGCCACGTCATATTCTTTTGTAACCGAATTAACTAACAAGATTTGTGAAAAATAACTAAATTTCAAACATCACATTTATAACGGTAAAAACTTCGTCGACAACAAAACTCATTTGATTTAACTTAAGAAATTTGATTAAACTTTAAATCCAGAGTTTTCGAAATAATTGAAATAACAAGTACGTTAATAACGTTCAAACACGTAAATTTTTAAAAGCAAATATTAGACAGCCCAAAGGAAGGTTAATATTTGATCGAATTGCATGCAAACTTGTGGTGGTAAACGTGTGACAATTATTAAGTTTCCATGTGAATAATAAATCAATCGAAAAATGTGTTTATTATTTGATAGGAGTTATTGTCAATGTTTGATCACTACACCAAGAGTACCACTTACAATTAATATTACTGTCCAAAAACTTGATCTTAATGATGTGCTAGGTATCTTGAAATGGGGCTTACCATTATTTGAATTAATTAATTGTTTAATACTGATTCCAATTTAAACAAATTAATTGGGAATAAGTTCTCTATTCAGTTAATCCATCAACTTCTGCAATATTTGTCAACATCAACTCTATTCCCATTTTAAATGGAACAAACTTCAAGGATTGGAAAGAGAACGTATTGATTTTTCTTGATTGCATGGATCTAGATCTTGCGCTCTGGATTGAGCAACCCACTCTTCTTACGGAAGAAAGTTCATCTGATGAAAATGTGAACATTGAGAAGTGAGATCGCTCAAATCGCATGAGTCTAATGATCATTAAGTGCGGCATTTCGAAAGCCTTTAGAGGCGCAGTATTTGAAGAAGTAACTGATGCTAAGGATTTCCTTGTCGAAGTTGAGAAACGTGTTGCGAAAAAAGAAAAAAAACGATAAGACTGAAATAAGCTCGTTTTTGCAAAGCTTGATTTCTACAAAGTATAAAGGCAAGAGGAATATAAGAGAGTACATCATGGAGATGTCTCGTATTACTTTTAAACTTAAGGGACTAAAGCTCAAGCTGTCTGATGACTTGCTCTTACATTTGGTATTGATCTCACTTCCTGCACAATTCGGTTAATTAAAGTCAGTTACAACGTCAAAAGGGGAAAGTTGACTCTTAATGAGCTCATTTCCATATTATGTGCAAGAAGAAGAAATGCTAAAGCAAAACAAAACTCACATTACTCACTTGGCGAGTACTTCTAAGGACAAGTAATAAAAAATAACAAAGCTGCATCCAGTACGATTTTAAAATAAACAGCAAAAGCCTGAAAATGATAAATTTAGCTGTAACTTTTGTGAAAATCTGAGATATATAAAGAGAGACTATACTAAATACCACACTGGCGTGTAAAGAATGGTACACTTCTCACTTCGATTTGTTTTGAGGTAAATTTAGTGTCAATACCTAGACACATTTAGTGAATAAATTTCGGTACCACTACTCAAATAAGTATGTCTATGCGTGGTTATCTGAGCTGCCAAAATCAATTGATACTGAAAGATTCATCTATGTGGGGCGATGACAAATCAGTTAAGGTTGAGGCTATAGGGACTTTCGATTATCACTAAAGACTGGTTATTATTTGGGTTTGAAAGAGACATTTGCGGTATCGTCTTTTGGACGGAATTTGATTTCTATTTTTACATTGGACAAATTTGGTTACTCTTATTCAATTGGAAATAGTCAGTTTGATCTTTTTTTTATTCAAATATTGTGGGTACTAGTTCTTTATCCAGTTGCGATAACCTATATCTGCTTGATACGGTTGCCTCTTATAAAGAAATCTTGTATGTGAATCAGCGTGGTATTAAATATAAATTAACCAATATGAATTCAACTTTGTTATGGCACAAGCGTTTAGGTCACTTCTCTCAAAAGAGAATGAAAAATCTTGTGTCGAAGGAATTCTTGATTCCCTTAATTTTTCTAGAATTAAGTGTTTATGTTAATTGCATTAAGGGAAAACAAACAAATATAAGGAGATTAGGTGTCATAGGACTTTGGACGTCTTGGAACTAATTCATACAGATATCTTTGGACCATTCCCTTCGAATTCTTAGAATTGTCAACAGTCATTTATTACGCTCATAGACGAATTTTTATCACTATGACTACCTATATCACTTCTATGAGGAATCCCAAATATTGGACATGTTCAAGGCATACAAGACTGAGATTGAAAATTAACTCAGTAAAAGAATTTAACAAATTAGATCATGCCATAGTGGTGAATACTATGATAGATATGACGGATCAGGGGAATAACGTCCAGGGCCTTTTGCTAAATTCATAGAGGAATGTGGAATCATTACACAGTACATCAGGATCTTTCTAGGCAAAAGCACTAAAGATTGCAGCTTAAATTCTCAACACAGTTCCAAGTTAAGCAATTTTTAAGGGGTTGCAAATTTTTTAAAGATCCTACTATTAGGTCAATTTTCGAAACAGGAAATGTTTGATTCCTTAAGAATATAGAGTTTGTAGGGGGAGATAATGTTATAAGGTTAATGATTTTGTCTTGAATGAATAATATGTATATATTCCTTCATTGCAATTGACAATGATCAGGTTCAAGGACGAATTCTTGTTCCAAATCTTGTTCAAGAAGCAATTTTGGATCAAAACTACATTACAAAATCTCCTATACACAATCAAAAGATTGTTTCAGAAAAACAAACTCAACAACCTCAAAAACAAATGTCATTAAGGAAATCCACTATAAAATGGAGAAAGACAGTCCTGAATAACTTTATAGTCCTTTTATAGTCTTTCTTCAAGAAAGTAAGGATGACATGGATTGATGAAAGAAGACCTGATTAATCAATTTTCATTAAGCCATGGAAAACAATAATTTTAAAGAGTGGATTGATGCCATGCATAAAGAGATTTTTTCTTCGGTTTCTATGAAAATTATTTTAGGATAATTATGGCATCCATGACACATTTTGATCTTAAGTTACATTAGATAGTTTACAAATTAAAGAAATCAATATATGGGCTTAAACTGGTTTCCTGAAATGGTATCACAAATTTTATCAAATAATTATCTCATTTGATTTTGAGATGAATTCAATTGATGATTGTGGATATCACAAATTCAGTGGGAGTAAGCATATTTTTTGATATTGTATGTTGATGACATACTACTTGTCTACAATGATATAAACTTATTGAGCAAAATCAAGAGATTTCTGTCATGAAATTTTGAAATGAAAAATTTTAGTGATACCTCTTTTGTATTAAGGATATAGACACACAAGAATTGTTCTTGGTGTATTTTTGGATTATCACAAAAAAGTTGTATCGATAAGGTTCTTAAAAGATTTGAAATGCATATATGAAAATCAAGTGATACCCCCACAATTAAGGGAGACAACTTTAGTCTCAATTAATGTCCTATGGATAAATTTAAATAAAATGAAATATATGAAATTCTCTATGTTTTAGCAATTGAGAATTTAATGTATACTCAAGTTTGCACACATTTGGATATAACATTCGTTGTTGAAATGCTATGCAGATATTTAACTGACTTCGGGATGGAAATTTGGAAAGCAGCTATGAGGTTATTCAGTATCTATAGAGAACTAAGGATTACATGATCACATTCAAATCAGACCAATTGGAGATCGTTGGATACACTACAACAAAAACAGCCTACGGCAACGTTCAAAAAACGTTGTCGTAGAACTTTTGCAACATTTGGACGTGTGTTGCAAATCAAGGTGTTGTCGTAGAGTAGGACCCCTACGGCAACGTTTTTTGAACGTTGCCGTAGGGATTTTTTTTTTTAAAGCAATTTATGCAAATTGATTGGTAAAATTGAAAATGACTCATTATGAACAAATTTTGAAATTGCATAAAATTTGATAATTTCATTACAAATTTTTGAATTCATACACTTGAACATTAGAATGTGATACAACAATACCTAAATAAAAAGGAGCTTCAAAATGAAATAAAATGGTAATACAATAGCCATGGGGCCAATTACTTAATCAGCTGAAAGACAGTAAAATCACAGCCACTCCCCATAAAGTCCAAGTTCTTGTGCTAACTCCCTCGAGTAAACATGATTGTTCCCTTGCTCCTGTTCATCTACACCAAACAAAACAATCCTGGCTTTGAGAACGAGGAATTACTTTATAATCAAATCAAGGCAGAAACTCCATATTAAACAATAATAAACCATTGTAAAGGAAAACTGCTTCAGTTGCTTCACTCCTAAACGATCCAAAAATTGCCAAACATACTTTTACATGCAATATATGCAAATTTTAAGAATTCATAAAGGACTTTAGTCCAAAATTAAGAGTTAACAAAGACATCCAGGCATGATGTAATCGTTCAGCAAGACAGATAACAGATAATAAAAGAGAAAGATATGCAAATAAATGTCAAATCACCTTCCCAATGCAATTAGATACCCAAGGGCAATGATGATCAAAATTCAGCAAGACAGATATCAGATATTAATAGAGAAAGATATGCAAATAAATGTCAAATCACCTTCCCAATGCATTTAGATACCCAAGGGCAATGATGATCTAACTATTCAACACAGCGATCACAGGTGGAACAATGCTTTGCACGTTGAGGCCGTACAATCTAATAAAGCACAAGGCAAATGGTGTTAGAAGCAATACAACTTGAACATTAAGATATAATAGCTTCCTTTTCCTTTTATACAGGTAGACAAGATTATGCACCTTGGTTTTAGAAGCTTTATCCAGTTATTCCCTTTGGATAACACAAAAATCTCTGGTTCCTCGTCTGAAAGATCAAATTTCCAGGCTTCAACTTGCTTAAAGATTCTCTGAAGCCCTTTATCAGTCGTCCCAAGCAGGAAGATCTGTTTATGCCCCCCATCAGGAATCTGGTCTTTATTCTAGTGAACCGGTAACTCGGCAAAAGAAATAGGCTCGTCCTTGTCATTGACGAATTCATACTCTGATACATAACCCGGAACTACTTCACCTTCTTCGTCCGAGGATGCCATTTGTTTCTTCAAATCGCTCAGTGAATATCACTTTGTTTACAAACCAAACTATAAGAAGATAAAAGAGATTAGATTAACATAATTTAAAGTGTGCATGCAACAGAGAAGTTTAAAGTATCAGTATGTAACAGAAAAGAAACAAAAATTAAGGTTTAGGTTTTACAGCCTGGTAATTTTTGCATATACTTACATGGATTAACAGAAAGGGCGAGAAAAGCAAATACAAATCAAGCATTATATCAAAAACCTTAATCGCGTGAAAAAAGAAGAAAAAAAAAAGATAAAAAATCAAGAAATTCCAACTCAAATATGCATGCTATTTCACAAGTCACGATATCGAATTCTACGAAAAGTAGTATGAGGAAACCAATCCAATAAATAAAAAATCAAAATTTATTAAAAAACAAAGTTTAAAATTTAAATTACCTGTGATCAGACAAATCGCTCGGTGAATTTTCTGCTGACTAATAGCTGTGTTCTGTTTCGAAAATCTAGAGAAAGAAATCCAAATATGTAATGAATGGGAGATTACTCTGAAATCGGAAGGAGCGGGTATATATATAGTCATGCGTGATCCTATTTATTAAGGAAATAAAAACATCGGACTCGGAAGTAAAATTCAATTATGATCCTAGTAGAACTCTAATCAATTACACGTATAGAACAAAAATGGTCCCAAGGATGCCAAGAACACGCCCATCAAAGCAAGAAGACCAAAACCAGCTGTTAATTTTGGCAGGTTTGATGCTGCATCCAGAAACCAATAACAAATGTTCTCAAGTGTAATAATTAGACTTACAATGCTAAATAAAAATGAGAAGCATAGTCAGGATAAGTTTCATGTTATGTTTACTTCAACATTCACAAGCTTCATCTTATGTTTACTTCAACATTCCAACACAACACTGCCCAAACATTCCAACCATTCCAACACAACACTGCCCAAATCTGCCCAAACATTA